CCCCCCCCCCCAAATCCCCAGTTTTTGACATGCTATGGAGGCTAACTGTTTTTATTGTTAGCTGCTGGGATGCATTTTTAGTACATGTTCTTTATCCTTCCACCTACGTACAAAATGTAAGCCTTGACTAGGCCTTCTAAGAGGGTTAGGATAGTAATGAAATAGAAAGGGTCCGACTGGAGATGGGTCCAACAAATAGGGGTTCATAACTGCGCGGACAAATGAACTCTACGGCGGCAAAACTCCACTGGCCAATATTACCATATTTGCCAAATTTTACTGTTTTGAACCCATGGTATTAGTCTGGTCGAGGCTCCTCTATGTAGCCTCTACCAGGCTTCGGGAGGCGGCTGGAAAGAGTAGAAATTGGCCAAATAGAGATAACATGCCGGGAGTCGGAATACATTTTGAAGTCTCTAGCGGACCAATGCCCCCGGCGTGTTATCTGTCTATTTGGCCAATTTCTACTCTTTCCAGCCGCCTCCCGAAGCCTGGTAGAGGCTATCCTCCATGGTCTGGTAGAGACTACGCGGACATGGACTTCACCATCTCGTACCACCCCTTGTTGCACTCCTCAAAGTACGGAAGCGCCCTCATGCGGTCGTTCCAGGCACTGATGCAGGGGTAGTTGCTCTTGTAGTCGTACCCTTTGAAGTCTAAGAGGGTCAGGGAGGCCATCATACCGAAGTCTGCGAAATAAAAAAAAATGTCAAGAATTTGTGAAAATTATGCAATCCCCGAATCTGGATCGAATTCTAAAGCAGACGTGACATGTGAAATACACCCATATACAACCTCCTATACCAGAATCAACAGGATAAAATTTAGATAATACATCCCACCATTCCCTACCACAAAAAAAATTACTACTAAAATCAAAGGAAACCCACATATTATATAAGAAGTGGGTAAAATTGTCTTCCCTTGCCTAACAAGAAGAAGTCAAACCCAGTAAAACTAGTACCATGGATGTTGTAGAATATATTATAATGCTAGACGTAGATATAGTCTCACATACCATTGTATTTTCTTTCTTATGTTGTTTGTAACTGTAATTAGCCCTCGGGCATGTATTTGCAAGAAACTTTCTGTTATATTGATAATACCTAGCTAGACCAGGTGAAATTAAACATTATGTATTTGCTTTGAAAATGTTACCTTTCTAGTTAACTTCTTTCCTTGGTAGGGCGTGTTCATAGGAAGTAAAATTCATCTTCAACCTGTTCTATAAAATGCCCATGTTTTACCTGCCAGTGTGAGACAGTCCCCTGCCACGTAAGTTTTCCCCTCCAACATTTTGTTCAGCAGCTCCAGGCTCGTCTTGACTTTCTCCTCCTTCTCCGGGTCGGCGTCTTCTCCCCGAAGTACCTGGGGTGCCTGGGACAGGTGGGAACAGGTGGGTTATGTATACTTCGTGTGACAGACAAGATATGGGTCTGAGGAGATGTGTCTATGCTATGCATTTGAAGTCTGCTGTCAGCTATATGCTGCAAACCCGTTTCGACCATAGTGTCATCGTAAGCTGCGAAATGAGCAATCTTCCTCTTTCTCTCTCTCTCTCTCCCCCTCTCTCTTTCTCTCTCTCTTTCCCCGTGTGTGTCTTATGTTTGTGTGTGTGTGTGTGTGTGTGTGTAGTGTATGTAGTGTGTGTGGGCGTGTGTGTGTGTGTATGTGTATGCATGCATGTGTGTGCGTGCGCGCGCGGGCGCGCGTTTGTGTGTAGTGTGTGTGTGTGTAGTGTGTGTATGTGTAATGTGTGTGTGTGTGCGCGCGTGTGTGTGTGTGTGTGTGTGTGTGTGTGTGTGCATGTGTGTGTGTGTGCATGTGTGTGTGCGTGTATGTGTGTGCGTGTGTGCACGTGTCTATGAATGCGTGCGTGTGTGTGTCTTGTACTCCTAATGAACGCTATTTGATTGACTGTTATAGCCGACAACACAGTACACTCACCACATAGGCACCGATGTTGGCATCATACTGTCTGTGGAATCCGAACAGGAGGTTGACTTTAGCTCTCTTCTGGTGGTCAGTCGGGTAGAGCTTCGCAGGGTCTTTTGCGTACTTGTCGTTCAAATAGACCATGATCGCAACACTGTATAAAGAACAAAATTACATAGGTAAATCATTGTAGTATCTTTAGTTACAACTTTTGTTATGAACATACGACAACATTAAGTCACTTAAAAACCTTGTACGGACTACTAAGTAAGGCTTTAATTTTATGGATGACATCCACGCGCGCATTGATTTTCGCCTGTTATCAAAAATAATAAAGATCACGTCCACCGAGGCTCTGGCCTGGCTGTAGGCCTGGGTAGTCCATGGTAGTTAGCGACAATACGGAGCCGGGCACCCAGGCTACCGAAGCGCCACGACTCAAGAACTCAGTACATACGTACAGTGCCGATTCATAAATTCCGCAAATAGCCAGCATGTGCCGGCTTGTCGTATACACATTTTGTACGTCGCTAAGTACTGCCACAAATTCGCAATACGAGCTTTGACTTTGCATTCCTGTGGTTTAGTAGCATTTTTATTTTTGGCCGGAATTTTTTTTATTCGCCCGCGCGCACTAGTTTGGGGGTCTTCCGAGGATATCATTCATAAAATGAAGTCGGTGTGGCCTAACCAATTTGCAAGCTTCAAAAACATGTTGTTGCATTTCGAAATGATCGCAAGGCAAACAAATTGTATAAATTTCGATCGCTGCAAATAAGCAATGGATTAGAGTGGATAGAAGGCGAAGAACTTTATTGCACACTAATTCAAGTAGGTGCAATGCATGACAACTTGTACATCAATGGAAGTTGGACTATTGCTAATATCTAAGAATTAAGAGACTAATATACATTTATAACAGTGAAAACACTCTGATGATTATATTCTATGCTATGTCAGTGTATGTGAACAAAACCTTGCTTTTGCTAGCCTGGGTGCCGTTACAAATCGGATGGCACACAGGGTATGCTTTTGCAAGGGGAAAAATTGAAGATCCTATATGGCATTCAAGCGTCCACAGCTACATTTTGTTAATTACGTTGTAACTGAACACTACACGTTTTCTCCTGAGTCATTCACTGTACAGTGGTGTAATGATTACAGTCTGATCATTGTGGAAATCGAGAATCCAAATCCTGTGTTTGTGACCCTATCAAAATACTATCTCCAGATCAGGTTTCTTCTGGTTACTATACAAAACTGGCCAACAAAACGTCAGAGTTTCTGACATTGGCACTGATCTGAGAACGTATTTCCTTGCATTTGCTGTTATTTTTTCAGTTTATTGTATTTTCGCGACCTGCACAGTTGTAGAAGGAATATTTTTCTTTCAATCACCCTTTCCCTACCCACTGGTGAAATGGAAAACTCCAAAACACCTGTACCTCGGGTCTCTGAACCGCGTTTCTAAGTAACCGACGCCATAACACCCTCTCATGTTTTACATCAACACCGCGTACATTCAACTCACAACGCACGGCTGTCATGGATTCCTCTGCCGCTCAAAGAGACCCCAAGAAACGTTTCCAAAGCAAACAGAGCCTGTTGCCATGCTCGGTTCTTAAGCGAACAATGATATCCCTCTTGAGTTCACAGTATTAAGACACAGCGAAAGCCAACATGACAAAGCAAAATTTATCACTGGTCAAAGTTTAGCAGCTCTTATTGAGACATTTCTTCCACGATTTTGACCCGTACTGACCCCGTAGCTAGTTACCGAGTTAGTGTATACCATCAACAAAACATATCAAACAGCTAATCAGACCATTACTGTTGCCAAGAACGTTGATAATTTGAATGTTTTATTAGCCCAATGTCTGTGACGATTTTTACATCTTTAAAATTTTACCAGCTGGTAAAAGTAAGATTCTAGAGCAAGTTCCGTCTTTTGTGGCGTTAATGCATCTACAAATTCGGGGGTAACGTTCGTTCTTAGTTGGTATAAAGTTCGAAATAATAATATGAACATGATTAGAATAGAACAGGGTCCAAGATGCATATGCAAGCAATGCAAACAGTGGGAGCACATAATAATAGACTGTCAAGAAACCGCACAACGCTGCGTACGTGATAAACTCTAGAATAACAACTCCTGCATGCAATGCCTTTCTATAGTAAATACTTTGTTGTTGGAGCTCTTCGAAGGCAGGAGTATACAAGCTATGTACATATATGTATGTGCCCGTATTTACGAAATTAACTTAGGTAGTCATATTACGGTTCAGATTATGGTAGCCTGGAATTTTTCTATCTAAGATGTCTCCAAGCTGAAGACATGTTCTTGTTGTAGAGGATTGATGTTAAATTTTGGTTGAAAACTTGGGTCTAATATTTTTATTACGAACGTTGTGGATTTATTTTTCAATGACCGTAAAAGAATACGTTACGTACGCAATGCGGATATATAGGTGTAGGCGTGTGGCCGAATACAAGACACACCCTCTTATTCTACTATATGATAACTACAACTGAATTCAATGTAATTAACAACCTACAAAACAGCTCACGGGTATTCAAACTAATACACTAAGAAAATCATATTATTTCATTGCAAAGAAAATACGTCTTACAATTAAAATGTAACGGATGAACTATCAGATATGTAAAATTTGGACGACAAATGAAACAAAAGTTAACACACAAACGTATGAAGATAGATGCAGGTAGAACTGTAGTTCTATGCAAGTCAAGTAGTACGTAGACTAGGTCTTTAAAATTAGCAGAGTGCGCGACTCCGAACTTAGAGTCCCGGGTTCGAGTCCTGACATGCCACCGATCTTGTGCCCTTGGGAAAGGCACTTTACACGGCTTTCCTCACTTAGCTCAGGTGTAAATGAGTATTGTCCTGTCATGTATTTGTCCCCTGTGTTGGTGGCGGCATTAATGTAAGTTGAAAAAACTTGAGTGTGTCGTCACCACGTCTGGTGATTACATGTTGGAATAAAAAAAAAGTAGCAAAGTACACATATTGACTTTTCTTGTAGTATATTGAAAATCAATGTTCGTACCTTTCCCAGAGCGCCAAGTCTCCGTCCTTGATAGTTGGGACACAGTGACAAGGATTCATCGCCAAGAACTCTGGAGTCTTGGCCTCCTAATGTCCAGAAAGAACACAATATGTTTAGATATGGAAAATAATAAATTATCTTCGATGAAACAATACCGAAGGGTAAAGCAACGAAAAAAATGTACAAAGAGTGGACGAAAAAAGGATGGTACATTACGTACTAATGTTTTGAAAAGTATGAATTACATAGTGCTCAAAACGTATGACACTTTATGAAAGATATTCTTGCACTTGCCGCGGACACAAATGCTAGGCTTATCCTCATTTCCCCATTCAATGTTCATTCAATTAATTAAATCAAATTACACGCCGCACCTACCCCCTTCTGTAGATCTAGTATCTTGTGGTTAAGCTCCAATCCGATCTCTTTGGCGAGCATAAGAACTGCTCGACATGGTGGGGAGAAATAGGCCAAGTAGAGGTCCACGGACGGTTTGGTGCTGCTAGCAGTAGTGTTCTTGGATCCTCCGCAACCCATCGTGAATTCTAACTCTGTGACCTGGTAGGAGCACCTGTAACAAGTTGTGCGGCTCAGGGCACGAGTGTTGACAGTGAAAGGTGAAGCGGGCTTTGTTTTGTTCACCTGCCGTGCGCTTGCGTGTGGGACGATTCCATTTCTCATTAATTGTGGGGGTGGTCGTGTGAAGACGTTTAGGCCACACCTATTTAGTTTTATGGATGACATCCTCTGAAGATCCCCAAACTAGTGCGCGCGGGCGAATAAAAAAATCCGGCCAACTTAAAAATGCTACTAAACCACAGGAATACAATCAGTTCTTGAGTCGTGGACCTTCTGTAGCCTGTGGACGTGATTTTTTTTTTGGAGGACAGGCGAAAATCAATGCGCGCGCGGATGTCATCCATAAAATTAAGTCGGTGTGGCCTTAGTAGGCCATGTTGATTTGGTTATATATGCCCGTAGCCAGGATTTTGATCGGGGGGGGGGGGTCTTCCGAGTGCTTGAGGGACCAGCGAGGTTCCTAGGGGGGTCCGGGCGTATGCTCCCCCGGAAAAATTGAAAAAATGAACCTTCTGTGCTTTTGAGAGGATTTCAAAGACAAAAATTAGAGATAGCTTTTATTCAATGACAAAGTAGGCAGTTTTTATACGATTCCAGCCCCGCTAGTGATACAAATCAGTCCATCTAAAGAAAAATCTTGGACCTTTAGATAAAAAGTGGACCAAAAAGTGGACCTTTGACCCTTGTGGGGGGGTTCTTCCGAACCAAAGGAGTTACACGAGTACTGGCATTTTCCATCATAGTCACGATGCTTATTCTGACATAATCAACCCTTACACATTCACTATTAAATAAATTCAGCTTAAAAAAAACAGTTACCCCAAATTAATATCAATAGCAAGAGCGCACCCACCAGCATGCTGAATTTCATTTTCTTTCAGGGTCTAATTACGAAAATATCGCCGTTTTTAGGTGTTTAGAACTGAAGAAGAAGAAGGGGAAACTGAGCAAAAATAGCTGGAAACAAAACATATAACTAATCGTTGAAATATTCGATACATTTATTTATCACATTTCGTTAAACATTTATTTCCATGTCACAGCTACAGCAGCTACATCTTTCAACAAAGACGGATTTACTCAAAGAATATACATAAAGTACAAAGTACTGTCTGTTTCCAATGTTTACTGACTCAAATTGTTGCGCTAAAGATGCTTTTCATCCTCAATCCGCTGGGTGTCGTTGCTTATTAGTTGTTTTTTTTAATTTAATTTATTTATTCCAACATGTAATCACCAGACGTGGTGACAACACACTCAAGTTTTGTCAACTTATATTAATGCCGCCACCAACACAGAGGACAAATACATGACAGGACAGTACTCATTTACACGAGAGCTAAGTTAGGAAAGTCGTGTAAAGTGCCTTTCCCAAGGGCACAAGATCGGTGGCATGTCAGGACTCGAACCCGGGACTCTTAGTTCCGAGTCGCGCATTCTGCCGCTACGCCACACGACCCCACGTACGCCACACGACCCCACAATCAGTTCACGATCAATTGTTGGCAATTCAGAAGCGATCTGAAAGATATCGGAAACAATTAGTCAACATGATAACGATGCATGGTATTATTTATAATACAACAAATTTAAAACACACAGAACTTTTTTTATTCCTTCCTTTGTCTATATGAAATTCGTGTTTGGGCGATCTGTCCAATCTTTGGCAGCTCAAGGGTCGCAGGATGACTCTAAATGCTACAGAGAGATTTGTAACACGACTTGCAGATGTAGGACATGCATATAGCATTAAGACCGGGCTGATACTTACGTAGAATAATATCTGAAATATTGCATGTCCATATTTTTGTATGTATTGTTATGAATTATTCTCACGATGTGTTGAAATTCAATGTTATTTTAGAATGGTTTTTATTGATGTAATTAGGGGAGGGAGCTGGTAAAGGTGACCCACCTGTTCTCCCCCCCCCCTCCACGCATGTGCTTGTAACTTGTTGTCCACAAGTTACGGCTGTTGGGTACCCTTTATCAACTTTATGTAAGTAGTTTCGGAGACAGAAAACAAATTTAATGCACTAGCGAACGCTGCTTTCTATTCTGCACCAATTAGTAAGACAATAACCACTAGTATCGTGATTCTTGACTTCCTTAGTTCGGCACACCGGGTCCGGCGGCGCGGCCGGCTCTGCGCTACTTCGCCACTAAAAGCTGTCTGAAAATAATTTCAAAGTGAGAGTTAGTCAACACATGGAGTAGCAAATGTAACAAAATTTGACTTGGACTTGGAGGAATCATCGGACGAAACATCCACGGCAACGAGGACCAAACATCCATGACCACGAGGACGAAGAATCCATAACAAGGACGAAAGAACTAGAGGACGAGCGAAGGGACTAGGGGACGAAAAGTCTAGTAGCCACTTGAATTCTCTGCCGATTCGATTTTTATATACTATGCACCAGGGCATTAGCTAGGTCGAATTTTTTTTACCGTCAACCCCATGTCAACCTAATTCGCGTTGACAGTAAAATTGAAGAAAAAAAACATGAAAAACAAAGTCATAAGGCTGCGCGCGACGAGCTTACGCTACCCGGGTCCCGACACGCACAGGAGGTCTGTTCCGTTGGTATCGACTTTTATGCTTGAAAAGCCCAAGGAAACTGGACGGAAAAAAACAAGCATTAAAGTGGATGCCAGTGGAACATGGAAAAGTGGCGTGAGCTGGGCACAGGGTAGTATTTCCGCCAGGCGGCCGTCCAGCCGTCCTTTGACGCCCACAGGGTATCTATCACTCTCCTGTCAGGGTCATCGGGTACCGGTAGCGACCACACGCGGTACCACCGCAAAACGTTAAGCCAGTGCAGTGCACTTCTAAACTAAGTTTTAAAAATAGGACTGTCTTTCACATCTTGAAAGGTACGTCGATGAAGGTTAGATATCAGGGTAACGGGATACACAAGGACACAATTTTTATTCAAGAAACAGGAAAGATTTTGAATCTATTCAATTGTTTGTGTGACAATTTCCTTGTGTATATTTTACTGTCCCGTCCGTCATAAGATACGTACAGGCCGGATATACTATTGTTACAATCAGTGAATAGTTAAAAATCACAGACAACATGTATGTGACCCCATGACTTCGCTTTATTCCGTATGTATGGAAATCAAGATGTTTCCTTGTCTCGTAATATATTATACAATGTATCTTACAAATCTACATGTCACAACACAGTTATCAAGAGACAACAGTTCACTTGTCAAGAAAATCATAACATGTCTGTGTTTAGCGCTGATTTATTCCATGCATGTTCTCGGTGTAGTTGTGGTGTACAGAAACAGTTTACAACGACTGCTCCCCCATTGAAATCACAGACGTATTAATGTAGATCCAAATGTACAAATGTAGATCCAATTGCAATTACAGCATTTGCAAAATGCTGTAATTGGTGCACTGTAAAAGATATCGATACATTTCTAAGGATGATATAAATAGATCAGTGAACTGTCACGTTAACCCGTGTTCTGCATATTTAGTCATTGTCACATTACCCATTTTTCACCGCGGTATTTATTTAAAGCAGGTTGGCAGAAAAAAGGATGGGAATAAGGGCAGACTCTGTTATATTTAGTCATTGTCACATTACCCATTTTTTCACCGCGGTATTTATTTAAAGCAGGTTGGCAGAAAAAAGGATGGGAATAAGGGCAGACTCTAATATACAAGAAAATACCTAAAGGTAAAGGAGTGGTGTACAAGAGCTTAGAAGAGAGAAGATTCCCTTGTGCTTTAGTAATAGAGATCACTAACTATTAGTTAGAATATGCATCAGTAAGTTGTTGTTAGCAAAATAGATTTTGTATATGAGCTTACAAGACAACAAAATTCTTTATGGTTTAGCAATAGAAATCACCTACTGCTAAAGCGCAACAGATATTAACGATTTACTTACAAAGCCTAGTTGTCGCAATCTGCACGGTAGTCTAGCAGTATGTGATCAAAACACCAATAACTTCTTCAATAAGTCCTTGCTGGCCATATTAACCAAGCTCATAAATATTAAAGCAGCAAGCCGGTGATAAAATTCACTACACCATCGTTAGGCAGAGAGCCTGTTATGCTATTGTATCAAGCTAATTACAATGTGTCTTAAACATTAAAGCAACTATACAGACTTTTAGTTTTCTACCTCCACCAGTAAGCGTCGCAAAAGAGCTTATACTATTATTGATGTAGTGACAAAGTTCATTCCGCCGAGTTTAAATCAAGAGCCCACACTATTGTTGCATACATGATAACGTTTACTTTACTGTCTATGCTATTGGTGTATGGCGAAAAGTTCACTGCGTTGTGTCTAAGTCTAGATGAAGTTTAGAAGAATTAATTATTTCCTAGAAGTATCGCAGAGTGGAACTCACTGTCACCAAGTACAGTAGGGGCATTGTCAATAGATAGCTTTAAACAATGTCTAGAGCTAGAAGTTCAAGGGTTAGGTGTAACAAGTCGATCGGTGTAATATAGCCAGCTGCCGCCGCGCCGCATGCCTGCGAAGCTGGTGTGTTACGCCGAAAGGCGGTTATACCGGCTATACAGATACAGATACAGATGGAGGAACCGCCAACACCATTGGCTTGAAAGTTTATCTATGCTCTTAGAAGTCGTCTGAACTGTAATTTTAAACACAAATTTTACCATTTTTTCTGTTTACTTACAGTCTTCGTCAAGAAACGAGGATTAGACTGAAGATGAAAAGAAAAAAGTTTAAGAACGTTAATTTTCTTTTGTTTTAGACATTACATTTCAAACTGTTTTAGAACACATGTTATTGATGTTATGAAGATAAATTGACTATACATCATAAAGTTTAGATGGATAGTCTAAAACATACTGTTAGTGTTACAGGTATTCTCAAAGTTTACAGCATTAGGTTCAGATGAAGAGCCTGTGGTATTGTTATATCGCACTAAATTGTATGCTTGAGAGGTTAAACTACTGCTTAAGCATTCCTGTGCAGTTGCGATGTTGTCTTGACGTCTTATGTTGTTAGGTAGACGTCGTGTACATCGTCCTCTCACTTGCCCACGTTATAGTCTGTAAGAGAAAGAGGTGAGTGTTTGGAAATATTGTAGGATGTAGCACATTGAATGGCAGATTGTGATACATGTAAACCTTTTGTTTACCGGGTATTTTAAGAACTTGTAGCCTCAGCATTTCGAGTGTTTTACTGCAGTTTTTGATAGTGTCTGATAAATGGTAGAAAGTGATCAAGATATAGTGAACAATTCATTTGTAATTAGCTAGTCCAGTTATAATCATGATCAGTGACGGTAGATTAATAAGAGCTACCTGGTTAACTCCTCTGGACTAGGTTTATTAATGAAACCTACTGGACCAATTATGTGTTTTTTACCTTTCAATTGATTACTTAGGATTTAATTAGCCCATATATTTGTTAAATTTTTCGGTCAGCCTGCAAAGGAGTCTAATAAAAACTGATTTCAGCTCAGGAAAACCCTGATAACTGATGTTAACATGAAAAAATGTGATATGATTTTAATTATTTTTTTTATGTTCCTAAATGAATGATGGTTTTGCAATATTTGTTGAATTGGACGTAGTGTGCAATATATTACCAGCAGACCATTATTTCTACAAACACTAAATCTAATTCCTACGGAAACCTTGACAATGAAGAAGTTGTTTTTATATCATACATGTACATGTTGCTCACCCATCTGACAGATGTAGGGAAGCCGGTCCCGACAGTTCTGCAGGATCCAGCGAGTCAGTTTGTTGGTCCTCCACAGTACCATACAGTCCCTGCTTTTGTGCGGGGCCCTGGACCGGAACTTGCGATAGCTTCCCAGCGGGGTTCCATCATTCCACACGAAGCTACGCTCCATGTCCAGGTCATCCAGGCCAATCCAGTAGTTCCTACAAAAAATGAATAAATAAAGGATACACGTTTTCGTGTCATTTCAAAGATAGCTGTTCTTATAGTTCTTTCAAATTAAAAAAGTGTATTTATTTGATTTAATGACAAATCTTGCTTGAAAGAACGAATACGCAACAAACATGCCAGATTCAATACAACTTGCCTAATTCTTTTCGTCCTCGTGGCATAAGGTGCTTATTTAGTTTCGGTACGAGTACAATTTTCTACCCCATTGCTAGTCAATGCTTTGTGAACGTCAGAAAATAAATCCATGCTGGGTAAGGCACACGGGAAAAATTGTAGGAGAAAGCTGTCTTCCGTTATTCGAATTGTAACAGCAGACAAATTCAGCAAAGGCCTTGCTCCCGAATCGTGATTCTAGTGACGATAATTAAATTATTCACCTCTGAGCTCTACGACCGCTAACTCTATTCAGGTGCTCTGTGAGGAATGTTTGCACACCGGCATTTTTTATCATAGCCAGTGTCCCGCCATGGGACTTGCACACCTGCAGGGCTGCCCTGTAGTTCAGCCGTTGATTGCCCCTTGTGGAGGACCAGAAGCACTGGTTCTGGTATCTGCCAAAAGTCCTGGCAGGGCGCAGGCCAGGGTAGAGGTCGGAGCAACCTGGAGTGGGCAATACTAGAGACAAAGATAGCATCTGTCAAGATAATGTATAAAGATCCATTTTCCCATACGCCTTGCAAACGTCATTCAAATTTACACATGTTGTGGCTAAGTAAGGAATCATGTTTACTAATCTTTAGTGCATAAATTAGAATAATGATAGTATTGCCACCATGCACAACTAAGGTTTTATATACATATATACATATAGCATCTCCCGATAAACCATCTTTAAACGCATGGTTAAAACCTAACAAGTTAGAGTTACCTGGACAAGACACCCCCGTGTCACATTCCCGTGTTTCTTGCGCGGGTCCATCACAGTCTGTCCCTCCGTTCTGTGGTGCAGGGTTGGTGCAGGTTCTGTCCCGAGTCTCAGTCCCAACTCCACACGTCACGCTGCAGCCTGACCATGGGCCCCAGTCGGACCAACCGCCGTCAACTGCAGTAACTACAACGATATTAAAGTATTTAAAGCCTTTGTTAACGTCTTGTTTTACCTAGCCTCACTAATTATGAAAGGTTGCAATAAGCATTATCCTAACGTCCTCTCTCTGGCATCCGTTATACGTAAATGTTCCACAGTTGGCCCCGATTTACACTTAAAAACCAATGCGTCTTCTCTTGGCTATTCCAGGGCCGTAGTTTTACTCAGACTTAATCCCCATTGTGTGGCTTCACAAGAACTACATGTAAGGGCACACTAACTAGCGTGCAAATTAGGCTTAGTCAGAGCTGCCCAAAACCACGTGCCTTACTCTGACCAATCGTTACAGATCTTGGCGTAGAGTAGCCGTTGCAACTGATTAATCGCTGTTCAACCCACAATTTCTAATGGTCCAGAGAAATAGCCAAGAAACCCTTTGATTTGGCATTTCAAACCTCCCATGGATTGTCCAGAGTTTGCACTTAGCCGAGGATAAAATATAGGTTCGGAATCACAAGACATACCTAGCTGGCAGATGAATCCCCTGGCGAGGCTGCAACCTGCATCAATCCAGCCGTGCGCGGAATCAAAAATTAGGACACAGTCTTCGCCATCGTGAGCATCGTTAGGCTCACGTGGATACCAGTTAGAATAGCCGGAAGACTCAAGACTTTGGCCGTCTTCATACACGAACTGGCCTTCACTCGCAGTGTCAGTCAGCCCAATCCAGCGTATTCCAGCTCCTCCCAGATCGTGGATGAAAGTGTTGGTCGCGTTGTCCCTCGGCATGGCCAGCAGTCCCCCGTCTGCGGCACAAGTCTGTCTAGCCTCATCGTATGTCATGAGCTCAGCATAGTCCTTGTAGCAAACTCCGTTAAAACGGACGTAGTCTGCTATTGGACACCCTGTAGAAAAGGGGAACAAGGGAAGGTGGCTTCAAAAATTCATATTCAACATAATACAATATACTTACTTATCCATATATATATATATATATGTATATATATATATACACGAATAAAATAGTTATTATACACGCATACTTAAAATACAACCTGGACAATATGCAGACATAGTCTTCGCCATCGTGAGCATCGTTAGGCTCACGTGAATACGTTAGAATAGCCGGAAGACTCAAGAATTTGGCCGTCTTCATACACGAAATATGCTATATATAGCAGGGTGTAGTCGGAATGGAACATAATGGTAACGAAATTCAAGTTTCAAGTTTCAAGTTTATTTATATAACCAGGATATAACTCAGATCTACCGATCTGCTTTTCAGTTATTCCTGGGAACTCAAGCCAATGTACATTTAAAAATACAGTATATCACAGAGAAAAAAAATCACAATGACGTTACATTACATCACAATCAATTACATATAAATCACAGTGTGCACTGCTACAGTTACAGTCACATTCAGTAAACCGGTCCCTTCACAGTCTGGTATGGGTCGAAATGAAAAAACGATGCTATATAGC